TTTAATTCATTTCTACCTGGTACTGTATCAAGAGCAAATAATTTAACCTTGCCGGGTGAGTGGTGTTGGCTGTGTCTAATTCTGCTTGGCTTAATTCCTACTTGATACCAATGTGAGATGTAAGGCTGGCTGTAGCAAAACAGAAGAGTAAGTAATACCTACCTTTAGGCTAAAACTGGAGACCTACCTTGTGGCTGGGGACTGATGAAGTTGTAGTAGCAGACAAAATGAAATTACTTCAGGGAAACCCTGTAAGCTCATGACAAACACATTGTAGGACTGTGGAAAAAAAATAGTGATGAAAGTTCTTCCAAAGTAGCCCTGTGAGTAGCAAAAGCATTAGGAATTGCTCTTCTGTTATGATAGACTACTTGCTGTAATTTACTGACTATTGAAAAGCCTCAGAAAAGGGGGAATGGAAGGGAGCCAATATTAAGAAAGCCAACACTGAAAGTGGCACAAGGTTCAGCTTTTTTTTGTTCAGCAGACAACTCTTGCCCTTTATCATGGGTGGAGCCCATAAAGAAAATATTACTTGCTCATTGAGCTGTTTAGCTTCACAAGACACTGTCAGTAATGTCAACTTTGATTTATGAAGGGTAATACATTAATCATAGAATCATAGAATGGTTTGGGTTGGAAGGAACCTTAAAGATCATCCAGTTCCAACCCCCCTGCCATCAGCAGGGACACCTTCCACTAGACCAGGTTGCTCAAAGCCTCATCCAACCTGGCCTTGAACACTTCCAGGGAGGGGGCATCCACAGCTTCTCTGGGCAACCTGTTCCAGTGTCTCACCACCCTCACAGTGAAGAATTTCTTCCTAATATCTAATCTTAACTTGACCACATTTTGATTTGTTTGGTTTTATTTTTTAATGTCTAGAAGATCTGTTAAATACAGAAGAGCATGATTCATCTGTGTGGACTCCTGGCAAAGGTGGCAATCTGGCAGTTTTGTGGGTGTGTTTGTAACTTGTTTTGTCATCTTGCAGTGCAATACCTTCATAATCGTCTGCAGGTTCCTCGGTGTTAATCCAGTCAGCCAAGAAAAGAAGCAGGCTGATGCCCAAGGTTATTTCTTCATGGGAACACTAAATGAATCGGAGCACCCAAGCACACTGGGTAGGACTGCAAGAGTGAGACTGGGGCACAATGGCAGCAGATGAATGGTTAGATTCTCACCTGTGATGTCCTGAGGATCTCTGGCTCTGTTAATTTTGCTTACAGCAGAACCCAGACTTCTAAAAACAGTGAGTACTATTGCAAAACATCATTTTTCCAGAACTGCTTGGAAACTAGTAGTGGTCTGTGAAATTGGTTCATTCGTAATCTAAAATGCACTTAATTGGTTAGGCTGTATTTACTTTGTACTTATTTCCTCAGTTTAATATTCTCCCTACAGCTGTGGAAATAATGAGATATCTTAACTGTCCTCTGATCTTTTTGCTCATTGCTTTGTAACTGGTCTCTAATCACAGTGTCGTCACTTTTAAGAAAACATGAAATTTTCTTAAATATCACTCTCCTTTCAGAACTTGCTGTACTTAAATTCACATTTTCTAAGTGTGATCCCTTTAAAAATACTACTAATATCATTCTTTATAATGAAGAGCTTTAATTTTATCCTTAGATGACTGTGTTGAAGATCATAGAATCATGGAATCATAGAATGGTTTGGGTTGGAAGGGACCTTAAAGATCATCCATTTCCAACCCCCCTGCCATCAGCAAGGACACCTTCCACTAGACCAGGTTGCTCAAAGCCTCATCCAGCCTGGTGATGCTAAAGTCTTCTGCTGCAACCTTTTTAACTTGCTAGGTAGCAATGGCAGTTGATCACATTATGGTGGTTTATTGAGTTTTAAGCTAGCCATGTAGCCATTCAAGCCCCCAAAATAATGGATTCTGTTCTGTAACAATGGATTTAATATTTTTTTTTTTAATGTTAAATACACACAATGTGAGATTGCAGCATTTGGGAAAATGTATTTGTCTAGTTAATGATGGCAAGCCCAGTGTAAATTTTTATTTTGTATAATATGTGCTTGTAATTTTTGTGCAAGATACCTTTCCCCATGAATGTAACTCTAGTTTGTTTTCTGGAGTAGTGGAGAGGGGAAAGCTGTGAACCCAGGTGATGGAGAACCCTTTGGCCAGAGACCTTATGTCCACCAGCCTTGGGGTGTAGTTCCTACAGCTGTCACTGCTTGGGCTGAGCCCCCTGTTAGCTGTGGCCATGCGGGGCCAGGCTGCCTTGCAGTGCATCCTGCCATAAATTAAAGGCAAGAAAGTGCTTGGGGTAGAGGAAAGGAGGGATTGTCTTGTAGGGTTTTATAAAACACTTTGATTTTAAACCAACAGAAGTCACAGAGAGCTTTGAATTTAAGGCTATGATACATCAGACAACATATGGATTCTTTTTTACATGCATGATCAGTTTACCCCCAGGCTGCCTTGCAGTGCATCCTGCCATAAATTAAAGGCAAGAAAGTGCTTGGGGTAGAGGAAAGGAGGGATTGTCTTGTAGGGTTTTATAAAACACTTTGATTTTAAACCAACAGAAGTCACAGAGAGCTTTGAATTTAAGGCTATGATACATCAGACAACATATGGATTCTTTTTTACATGCATGATCAGTTTACCCTTTTTTTTTTTACTGTGTTAAGAGGCTGTTTCCTCTCTTGTAGCCACTGTCTAACCACTCAGTCTTTTTCTTTCCCTCCTGTTGAGGGCTTTGCCCCTCCTGGGGTGCTGTGACCAAATGAAATGAGCTGGAGAAGGAAGATCAGCAGCTGGTGACTTCTGAGTTGGGTGGGAGATACCTGAAGTTATGGAAGAGTCCTGTTACTAGAAAGTCCCTTCCATGTGAGAGGGTTTTGACAATTCAGCTGCTCGTGTGCCTGTGTCCTGATGGAACAGAAACCTCTTTGGAAGAGACCAGTGATGTGTTTACAGCTTCTTAAAAAGGGAGACATTAATGGCAGTAGATAGTTTATGATTAGATATATAACATCTTCCGTCTAAAGTGCCATAATTGGATGTTTTGGAGGAAGAGGAATAGCTGCATATGCTTTCATAGAATTATAGAATCATTTAGTTGGAAAAGACCTTTGAGATCTTCGAGTCCAACCATACCTGTCCACTACTAAACCATATCTCTGAGCACCCCATCTACCTGTTCACATGGCCTTATGTTGGTATATCCATGGGGTTTTTTTCCCTAAAGTGACAGTGGCTTGCTCTGTATTATTTGTTTTGCTCTATATTGCTGCACAGTAGTTACCTTGGTGTGTTCTTGCAGTGGTGAGACTGGGTGGTTTCCATGATGAGTCAAGCAATGCAACTGAGCGAGATCAGTGTTTTGCTGATTATGTGGGCCAGTATCTTGGTGAGCCTTAGCTACCTGGAGCTGTCCCAGATTTCTACCTCACTGAAAGGTAACAGCCCTAGGTGGAGTTACATCAGTGATTAAATACAAAAAGAATATGAATTAATTAATGATGAAACATGATGAGCTCAAGGATTCCCAGTTGTGAAATGGAATTAGGGCTACGAGCATACAGTAAACACTTAATGACTGCAGAATTTGGAAAAGAAGTCAATACAGTCCTTTGCCTCAAACCTGTAGGTGTTTCCCAGCCACCTCCTGTTCTTCAGCAATATTGATCTGAGTCTTTTGGTTCATTTCTCCTTCTCCATTTAATCTCCTTAGAAGAGCTAGCAGTTACTAGCTTTAACCCAAAAATGCTTTTACTAACGTCAGTTGAGTTCAAGAGGCTGGCATGAGATTCTCCTTTAGAGCTAACATAGAAATTCAGTGCATAAATATAAGTCTTTATGATCTTTTCATAATTAAGTAATAAACCTGTGAATCTAAAAATACAGTAAGATGAACAAATGTCACAGATGAAAGGGGCAGCCAGCTATGTGCCTGGCCCTTTGATGCTATCAGATGATGAGAGCTTGGAGTTTCTTAGATAGAAAAACACACCTCTGCTTCATCAATGCAGCAGCCCTTCTGTTTCAGCATCCTCTGTCCTAATCAGTACATATCAAGGAGAGATTTGAGTGTCTTCTATCAAAGCACGGTGATTTGATGAGCCTTCTCTTGTGTGCATCTTCTGAAAACCAGCCATCGTTCTGCTTTGTCACCTTGCATCCATTTCAATGGATTTTATGTTTTTTCAGTACATGGCTTAATCTACTTACACATCCAGTGATAGAGGATCAGTGTCTCAATTCTGTTGAATCCACAGGAGCTGCTGCTTTTGCCTTGGACGTGTATGGTATTTAATAATCAGATTTGGTGTAATGCATTATTTTTTTCTCATTCCCTTTACTGGATTATTTTCCTCCAGCAAATATGTCTGTAACAAGTTGCAACCCAGGATATTAAGCTTTTACCAAGGACCATGGGAAACTTCATGGAGGGAGCAGAGGCCTGAATCTTTCTGTGAAGCAAATAGCACTTTCCTTCAGTCTCGTCTTTGATTCTCAGATTTGGATATCTGAGCCCCAAGGACCCAAGTTTCCTACCTCACATGGCAAATCTCATCAGGAACTGCCTGAGGAGAGTAGCAGTGTTGAACCCAGTGGAGGTGGGGCAGTCTTAAATCACTTCAAAAGCGACCCACAGGCTGAACTGCTTTATTAAGCTCTCCACCTCACAGTTTATAGTAAAATATTAATTTAGTAGCTTCCAGTGTTGGACAGATTTTTATTTATTTATTTATTTATTTTTAAGAAAAAACTCACAAATAATTCCCAGTAAGAATCTTAATAAATGTTGAAGGTGTCCCTACTTACTGCAGGGGAGTTGGACTAGATGGTCTTGAAAGGTCCTGTCCAACCCGAACCATTCTGATTCGATTATTCTGTGCTAAATGTCTGAAAATGACCTTGCAAGCCCAGGAAGGACGGTCTTTGGGATGGGTGTAGCTGCTTTCTTACTGGCAACCAGACTGTGTTCAAAAGATGTCTAAACTTCTTTAACGTATCTTTCTTCCAGGAGGAAAGCAGTAAATGCGAGGTGATGGATGTGAGGGTAGCCCACTGCCTACTCCTTTGGGCTGTGCACTTCGTTCCAGCTGCGCCACGTGCTCCTCTCAGAGTAAGTGTTACTAGACCAGGTTGCTCAAATCCCTATCCCACCTGACCTTGAACACTTCCACTGTGCCAGTGTCTCACCACCCTCACAGGAAATAATTTCTTCCTAATATCTCATCTAAATCTACCCTCTTCCAGTTTAAAACCATTGTCCTTATATATATGTATAGGAGAAAATACTTTGAAGTATTCAATACATTCAGTAGACCAACTTCTAACTCTTGAAGTGTTAGAAATCTGCTCTTCAGCCTGCTCTGTCTACACAGCAACAACAGTGTGATTTCCAGGGCATCACGGAGCCAAGCTTAGCTTGCAGACTGACATGGCTTGGCTGGTTGTAGATGATAGACCATTTGACCAAGCAGTGGTGGAAGCTGTTCTGGATTGCACGTGGTTGTATGGTACGCAGTCACAGCAAGTGGTCCTGGCTGCAGGAGCCCAGTACGCCTACTTCAGGGTTGCTTCCGAATCAGGAGAGGAACAAAGGAGCTATTGCTATTTGTACAACTGTAGTTTTATCTTATGGCAGAAGTCACACAGATCACATACTCTCATCAACAAGTCACATATTCTCATCAACATGAGAAATAATGGAGAGCTTAAAGCCTAATACAGGCTTTTTGGCTGAGAAATAACTGCTGGAGGCATAGAATCATAGAATGGTTTGGGTTGGAAGAGACCTCAGAGATCATCCAATTCCAACCCCCCTGCCATCAGCAGGGACACCTTCCACTAGACCAGGTTGCTCAAAGCCTCATCCAATCTGGCCTTGAACACTTCCAGGGAGGAGCATCCCCAGCTCTCTGGGCAACCTGGGCCAGTGTCTGACCACCCTCACTGCATGTGCAGTCCTGTCCACCTGCTCAGTATATCACTTCGGTAGAAAGATGCAACTGAATGCTTAATATAGAGAGACAAACTGTTAGAAGAGTTCTCAGGTGGTCAGTATGAGCTCTGCATTCTGGACCTTGAATAGACTTCTGGACCTCAAAAGTACTATTTTGCCCTTGAAATCACCTTTCTAGTTTGTACCAATGAGTCAATTTTTACTTTCTTATTTTAACGTTCAATCTGCATTCCCCTTTTCCTTATTTTTCAGGTTCTCAGTAAGGAATCGAAGACTGATAATCAGCAAGGTACCGTGAATAGCTATGTGTCTTTTTAATTCTTTGTGAAATTTTATCAGTTATCAATACTTTACACCCCCCATACTCGCCTCATGGACCATGGTATTATGGAATCATAGTATGGTTTGGGTTGGAAGGGACCTTAAAGATCATCCAGTTCCAACCCCCCTGCCATCAGCAGGGACACCTTCCACTAGACCAGGTTGCTCAAAATCTCATCCAACCTGGCCTTAAACAATTCCAGGGAGGGGGCATCTACAACTTCCTTGGGCAACCTGTTCCAGTGTCTCACCACCCTCACAGTAAAGAATTTATTCCTCATATCTCATCTAAACCTACTCTCTTTCAGTTTAAAGCCATTATCCCTTGTTCTATCTGTACCTGCCCTTGTCAAAAGTCTCTCCCCAGCCTTCCTGTAGCCCCTTCAGGTACTAGAAGGCCGCTAGAAGGTCTCCCCGGAGCCTTCTCTTCTCCAGGCTGAACAGCCCCAACTCTCTCAGCCTGTCCTCAAAGGAGAGGTGCTCCAGCCCTTGCATCATCCTCATGGCCTCCTCTGGACTTGTTCTAACAATATCTGTTTGACTTGTTTTCCAGATGGGTGTATAAATCTCATTCCCTGCAAAGATAACGGAGCTATTTGTATTCAGCCTTGTTCTCCCTCCTTCCGTGGGGAGACAAGCTTTGTCTGTGAAGACAGAAAATGGAAAATATTCACAGATGCCTGTGCAAGCCTGGATATTCAGTCCCTTTTTCAGGTGAGGTAACTGTTATACATCTACTTTGGCCTATGCTCATAATTTCTTATTAAGACACCCCCTTCCTCCATACCTTTTAAAACTTGAGCAAAGGGAAGAAAATGGGATCCTAAACCACAGATTACTTTGGTAACAGGCTTTGACTTCATCTTAGATGAAGTGATGGGAAATGAATTTGGAAAATTCCTGTGTGGAAACATAATTCAGAAATGAAATTGCTTTGTTCCCTTGACTGATGTTCTTCATGTGGATCTAAACCAAGGCAATGAGCCTGAGGAAAGTGCAACACAATTATCTGTAATAAACAGATGATTCATGGTAAATTCTCCTCAACTACAAAATAAATAACCTTATTCAAGTCAGTTGAAGAAAAAGGCACTGCATTTAGTTCTTGTCCCTTCCTTCCAATCCAGACTATTCTATGACTCTGTTCTATGCGTGTTGTACAAGCCAGACATTCTTTGGTCCTGGGTTTCAGACCATCCAGCATGTTCATTGCACATTCCAGCACTGTACCACTTTCCTGGTTGTAGCTATCAGCTTGTTTTCATTCTATTAATTAATTTTCTCAAATTTATTTTCCTTTCTGCAGAGGATTTCTGAACGTGAACTCCTTCCAAGCTCTGAAGGACATGTTAGTGTTGCTGGAGAACACCTTCCTTTTGTAGGGGAAGGAAAGCCAATGCATGGGAAGCCTGGAGATGGAGCAAAGTATATTGGTGCTGATGACCACGGGAATAGTAACTGCCAAGCTGATTTTTCATGCATCATCCCAGATATCCTGTCTTCACCAGCCATTCCAGGAAACATTGCTGATATAGTGGAATTGCTAAAGAAGATTTCCCTTCTGTTATCAGAGAATGTCAATAGAGAAAAAATGCAGGTATTTACTTTTATGGGCTTCAAGAGGTTGTTTCCGAGTTTGCTAGAGCATCCATACAGCGTTTCTTCCTTGTAGGCACTATCTAATGAAGTTGTGGCTGCAAATCACATGGAGATCACCTGGAGTTTCCAGAGGGGGCCATGTTTTGTTATCAGAGAAACTTTAATGTGTCTATGTGTGGTGGAAATCCTCTGTTTCACCCAGCAGTGGAATTTCCTTTCTTTAAAAGGAAAAGCTTGAAGAACTGCTGTTGTAGACATGGGAGAGCAGTACAAGGAAGAATTGAGTATGACATTGTAGGGAAGGCAGCTGTGGAGATGCTGACCCACAGCTGTGTTGTCATGTGTTGCACAATGGAAACTGAAATCAGTCCCTGATGAACTCGAGAGAGGCAGGGAGGGAGGGAGATGTAAAGCAGACCTGTGTAATGAGTCAGCATCTGGAATAGAACTTAAGTGTCCTGATTTTTGCTTTATACTTGCTTCTCCAAGCACCTTTTGAGCTATGATATGAAGATGATAGGACAATCCTATTAGTGACTCATGCTAATGAGCTCTTTGAGTTTGACTGGGATGGATCATAGTAACCTGTTCATTGTCAAAGAAGAATATTCTCTTTATAGAAATCACTCTTGAATTAAATGAGCCTTTCTGGAGGCTCTGCCAGTGGAATAATAGTTGGTTTCTTTTAACATAAAAAATAACTCATTTTTTTCTTGTTTGTTTCAGAGTTACAGCAGGATAGCAAACCATATTCTGAACAGCTCCATCATTTCCAACTGGGCTTTTGTAAAGGACAGAAATGCCAGTTCAATATTACTGGACTCAGTGAATTTATTTGCTGGGAAACTTCTTCTGAGGAATGGGTCAGAAAGTATACAGGAACACTTCATCTCTACAAAAGGCTACAGCATACATAAAAACACTTCAGGGAGGAGCTTTGATTTTTCTGTGGAGTTCAATAACACAGGCAATATCACTGGACATGTGGTCATTCCAGAAGAAGAGCTTTTGAAGTTACCCAAGACTTCCAAAGCCATCAGCATTGCATTTCCAACCCTTGGAGCCATTATAGAAACCAGCCGGTTGGACCCTGGTTTTGTGAATGGGATGGTGTTATCCGTGTCTCTGCCAGAAGAGCTCCGGCATATTTTATTCACCTTTGAAAAGGTGAATAAACTGGAGAATGTCAAGGCTCAATGTGTTGGGTGGCATTCTGCTGAAAGGAGATGGGATAACAGGGCATGCAGAGTGAAGTCGGACAACATCAGCAGCGTTGTTTGCATCTGCAGGCATCACCGTCGGACATTCAAATCCTTCTCCATTTTGATGTCCCCCAGCGTGCCACGGAGTGCAGTGCTGGATTACATTACACGTGTAGGGTTAGGCTTTTCTATTTTCAGCTTGGTTCTCTGCCTTATCATCGAGATTGTTGTCTGGCATCATGTTACCAAAACTGAAATAACCTACATGCGCCATTTTTGTTTGGTCAACATCGCTACGTCGCTTCTCATTGCTGATATTTTGTTCATCTTGGCGGCTATTGTGCACAATACAGCCCTAAACTACCAGTTGTGTGTAGCAGCCACTTTTTTCCTTCACTTTTTCTATCTTGCCTTGTTTTTTTGGATGTTTACCCTGGGCCTCTTGATTCTCTATGGATTATTACTAGTTTTTTTTAAGATAACAAGATCTGTATTCATAGCTACAGCATTCTCTATTGGATATGGATGTCCCTTGGTCATATCTAGCCTCACTGTTGCTATTACTGAACCAAAAAACGGGTATTTAAGGAGTGGATCCTGCTGGCTCAATTGGTATGAGACAAAAGCCCTTCTGGCCTTTGTTGTACCTGCTCTGAGCATCATTGTTGTGAATGTGGTGGTAGTGGTGGTGGTTGTGGTGAAGACTGGGAGATCCTCTGTTGGAGAAGGCTGCAAGTCACAAGATTTGAGCAACATGATCCGAATTAGCAAAAACATTGCCCTTCTGACACCTCTTCTGGGTCTCACCTGGGGATTTGGATTAGCAACGATTGTCGACAGTCGCTCTCTGGCATTCCACGTTACGTTTGCGCTACTGAACGCCTTCCAGGTAAACTCAGCGAGACTGGGAATAGCATGTGCTCAGACTTGGCTGAACTTGGGGAAAGGTAGCAAACCTAAGAGGGGTTGACAGCTTGAGCTGTGTGTGAAGAGCAGGATCTAAGCTTTCCTTTCAGTTTACCTGTTTTATGCCGCATCTTGCATTGACATAGTAAATGCAGATAGGTAATGGGACAAACTAGTTGGTGTAAAGTGTGATGAAGAATTCAGATGGTGAATTGATGTTAAACATAAGATACACTGATTAATGTCCAGTAATTGCAAAGATATCTCATGCTTAACAAATACACAGAAAATTGTCACTTGCCACTGCAGATGCTTTTGTTTAACTCCTCAGTATGAAATTCCAATGTTACCTAACATATCGTTGTATATCAGTCTGCCTTAGCTCTTTTTGGCTCATACTGCTACTGAGTGGGTTGAGAAAGTCTTGGTATGTAACCCATCAGTCCAGTTCATAATGAGAATTAGCATGGGTTATATATATATATCCATTCTTGGCATTCCCGGAGGGCCCGTGTGACCTGGGTGGATAAACTCATTTTGTGCATTGCTGTTATCTGAGTCATAGATGATGAGATCTATCACACTGACAAAAACATTATTTTATCCATCCTTAAGGAAATGACATCTAGAAGCACTTAATGAACATCATGTGGTTATACTGGTTTTATTAACTTTTTTTGCAATTTTTTAGGGATTCTTCATCCTGTTGTTTGGGACACTTCTGGATAGAAAGGTACTTGGGTCACTTCAACAGTTATTCTGCAGTATATGAACTATTTTCTACACTTTGAGAAACAGTTCTCTTTAATATTTTTCTTTAAATCTCTAGACAAGAGAAGCCTTAAAGATGAACTGCCTTTCATCAAAGCGGAAGTGTAGTCTAGCAAAGGTAAAGTTTGTTTGTTTGGTTTTTTTCCCCCTTAATGGCTTAAGTTAAAATTTATACCAACTTACACACCTTCTTATTTGTACATGGAGAGAATGGAACTGTGCACTAAATCTTACCTAGTTTAACATTTTTCTAAGGCAAGTGCTTGCTGAAGGAAATACAGGTATCTCAAAAGTATGTTGAGGTTATTAAGCTTCTAAATATTAGAAGTGGCAATCTGTAGATTTTTGAGTTCTACATGACCTACTGCTGCTGTTAAAAAATTAAAAAAGTATTTTAATCTAATCTCTTCATCTGTAGCTATCAAAGCCCTTTAGATAGAGAATTCCTATAACTTTTTCCCATCTGTAAAATAGCTCTACTTTAAAGTTACTGAGTAAGGAACAGAATTAAGAGTCTAAAATCCCAATGTAATGACCTGTTTGCCACCTTCACAAAAACATGGATCTGTATGACAGCAGGGCCTCTCTAGGATGTCAGAAGATTGTTCTCCTTCCAGTTAAGGTCAGCTCGGGATAGAAACCACTCAGAGCCCAGCCAGTACGTTTGGTGCTAATCAATGTTGTGCACCCATAAGAGCTTGAGTTTTTTTTTAATATCAGGGTAATTCATTAAAAGGAATTGTTTAAACCTTAAGGAAACAACTGTATTTCACCAGCTTCATAGGAGAAAGTTGTCAGAATTGATGTGGTGGCATCACTGAGTTGGTGTTTCCTACCTCTCCTGGAAAACTTTATATGCTGTTTGTTTGATTTCTTTTGGTACCAAGGCTTCAGTAGTTTTGTTCTGTATTTATAAAAGGGAATCTCCTTTAGCTGTCTCACAAGAATTGCCTGCAGTGCTTCTGCTATCTACCAGAATAAACTGTCTTGGTTCAGTTTGGACTTTGGAAAAATAGTTATTTCCCTGCTTTTTTCAGTCCTGATTCTAGTATTGAAAGCTGCAGAGTGTCTTTTAGTAACAGTGTGTCCAAATGTCCTTGGATTATGAGGAAAAAATAGAGGATTTAAGGAAACTATACCTTCTTTCTGCTATTGCCTGGTATGCTTTGGGTCATTTTGTGCAAGGGAGGCTACATGTTTGTGCAACTTCTTATTCCTCTGCATCCTTCCTCCCCGATTTGGTCTTCACTTGCATCCAGCACCGCTGTTATGTGCTAAGTTTAAATGCAGTGCCAAAGGTCCTTTCTTAAAACAAAACAAAACAACCATAAAATAATCCAAAAAACCCCAAACAAACCCCCTCCCACAACAAAACATAACCCTAAACAAAACCCCAAAATAAAAAACAAATAACAAGACCAACCCAAAAACCTGCACTAAAATTGTTTCCTACCCAACAGAGGAGAAAGAGAAGGGAAGTGTTTCAGATCACTCTGCATTTTGTAAACAGAGATTACAGTTTCTGCTTTTACAGATCCAGGAACCAAATAACAGTGGAGATGTGAACCACTTTATCAGGCTATAGGTCAGAATTGAAAGTTAAAATTCTCTGAAGCCACTACCAACATAATGTTCTGGAAGCAACAGGTGGGAATTCACTAATCCCATGACTCAGCAACATTTACTGAAAGTATTAAGTGACCTCACTGGGCAAAACTTGATGTGGCAACCATGGCTGCCCACGCTGAAGAACTTGGGAAAATGTTGTCACTCACTTGGGTGAAAGAGACCACATGTAGGTGTTTACCATTGCATAACAGAGAGGGGATAATGTTAGTCATCCACTTGTGTAAACTTGGGTGTAAACATGGAACTCAGCTCATGAGAGCTGGAAAGGTTTGTCACACCTGAAATGATTGTTTAAAAAAAAAAAAATAAAAAATCTTGTTTCAGAGGGCTTCAGAATGGGTCTGTGTATCTGGAGTTTTAATGGTGAGTACAGAAGATATCTAGAAGGGTTATAGAGACTCTTGCTTCAGGTCTCCTAGTTTCTCCAGACTCATGAGAGCCTTTCTTCTGGGTCAGATTTTACAACTTGTGGCATTTCTCACAGGACTCTCAGACACCTCCTTTTTTGAAAAGGAACCTCCACCTACATGGATGATATATCTATTCTGACCTGCTGATTTTTTTTTCTCCTAGTCCTAGCAGTGGACAGTTGTCTTCAGTGGATCTGACCAGTGAGAGGAAAAGGAGCACTTCTTACACAGAAATCCTGGTTTGAGGTGAGCCAAAGTGGCTGAGCAGCTCGGAGCGTGGACAGCACTGTCTTGTAGCATGACCACAGGAAGCATCGTGAGAACCAGAAGAGAAAAGGCCCTGAACCTGCTGTCAGGAGCAGGAAACCATCAGTGTTGCTGCAATCCTTGGAGGAAATACGCTGATACATGAAGGTTGTTTCTTACCTTTGTGAAAACTGCCGTGAGGAGAGTTTGACCTCATTTGCCATTTCAGTGCTTCAATATTTTTTTTTCCATGTCAGTGCAATAAGGAACTGTACAGCATGTGAGGCTGTTCTAAAATTATTTAATTTTTTATGTGATGTACAAATGTCGAGGGTTATCTAGCAGGTTTTGGCTGTCTTTGATCAAAAGTAATTCTGTTAGGTAGCTCTGTATGCACCATTTCCATCTGTCCTCCCAGACCGATGGACAACTTAACTCTATTTGTACATTACAGCTGTTCTCTCCATCTCAATATTTGTTCTCTCCATCGCAGTGTCAGAGGAATTCTACAAGGCCATTTTTTGTTCTGTCGGGACAGAATTTGCCTTCTTTTTTCCACTCCTGCAAGACAATGACAGAGATAAACAAGAACACTCTGCAAATAATAGTTTCCCTCTTCAGGTAGGGGAAAGAAAGCTTTGAATATGCTTCAGAGTTGAATCAAGTAGATGGAGATCTCCCATGTCCCATGTAATGTGGTAACCAAGGAAATGATTCATCCATGTGAGGTGGTTTGTCTGGTTTCATTAGTAAAATCAGTCCTTGGTCTGAGAAACCCTTTCTGAGGAAAGCTTTGATAAAAATGTTATTATCTCTTGTCAGGACAAATCAGTGCTTTCAGATGGAAATAAAGTTGAAATTTTGTCAGTGTTTCTAATAAATGGTCTTTATCCTCCTCTACCAAAAAGAGTAGATTGATGCCCGTCAGAATTAGGTGGTATTACTCAAAGCAGAAATCTCTTATCCCCCTGTGGCTTCACACACATTTAAAATACAGATGACTTAATCAAAGTAATACTGGTTTTATGTCATCAGCACCCCATTATTGAAGAGGGAGAAAAATACCCTGGCAGATGAACTGTGTGATGTGGGCCATGTGATGTGTACTATGGAAAAACCCACAGCCAGATGTCTGGGGGTTGGGGGGAGAACCTGGGACTCTGGAGGGGACTGATCAGAAGGGCAGGACTCTGCCCTGGGTTATGAAATGGTTCTTGTCCCCAGGAATCTGTTGCATCCTCACATTGCCAGGACCATGAGTTGCATGATTTTCAATAAGGCCAAATGCCAGGTCCTGCACCTTGGCCACAACAACCCATGGCCATGTGACAGGCTTGGGGAAGAGTGGCTGGAGAGCTGCTCAGCAGAGAGGGACCTGGGGGTGTTGATGGACAGCCAGCTGAACATGAGTCAGCAGAGTGCCCAAGTGGCCAAGAAGGCCAACAGCATCCTGGCCTGTATCAGCACCAGTGTGGCCAGCAGGACCAAGGAAGTCATCCTTCCTCCGTACTCAGCTTTGGTGAAGCTGCACCTCGAGTGCTGGGTTCAGTGTTGGGCCCCTCACTCCAAGAAGGACATGGAGGTGCTGGAGCGTGTCCAGAGAAGGGCAACGGAGCTGGGGAAGGGTCTGGAGCACAAGTGTGATGAGGTGCGACTGAGGGAACTGGGGTTGTTTAGCCTGGAGAAAAGGAGGCTGAGGGGAGACCTTCTCACTCTCTACAGCTCCCTGAAAGAAGAGTGTAGAGAGGTGGGGGTGGGTCTGTTCAACTGAGGACCAAGTGACAGGACAAGAGGAAGTGGCCTCAAATTGTGCCAAGGGCAGTTAGATTGGATCTGAGGAAGAATTTCTTTGCTGAAAGGGTTCTCGGGTATTGGAAGGGGTTGCCCAGGGCAGTGGTGGAGTCCCCATCCCTGGAGGGACTGAAGAGTCGCGTAGACATAGTGCTGAGGGACATGGGTTAGTTGGGGACTTGTCAGTGTTGGGTTCATGGTTGGACTCGATGAGCTTAAAGGGCTTTTCCAGTCTGTGTGGTTTTGTGTGATTTTCCTCTCCTATCTTCTTTCCTCATAGGTTACAGTCTTGTTACAAGAGACTATCCCTGTTCCTTTCACTCAGCATATTTGCACATTGCAGAACTTTGATCAAACAGAGATAAAATTATGCTTATATGCCGCTGTAGCATAAATTTTAAAAGACCACTACCCCAAAGTATGGCTCTTGGTGTCAAGCAGCATCTTCTGTGCTTTAGCTTCTTTCTCTCCTTGAAGTGCTTTGAGGGTTTTTTCTTTCCTTCTCTTTCTTCTCTTTAATAAGTTACATGTGTCTTGGAGTTTTCTCTGTTACAGCTCTTTCAGTATCAGAAACATCTCCTCCAAGTCCCTGCATGGTCATTTTCAATGGATCAGAGCTATTTGGCTCTCATGCTTGAAGGTTTGTTTTCATCGTAGGGTATTATACACCTCAATTTATGAATCGGCTACTGTATTTTAAAGAATAGTTCAAAGACTGACACAGGATGTGTCATGTCAGGTGAAGGTGTTGGTCAGTGTTCAGTGTGTGTCCTTTGCAGCCATGAACTCTTGTACAGGTACCTCTGTCACCTCTGAAGGAAAGGGACCATGTTGTGGAGTTTGCAGCATGGAGAAAACTGCTTTGTGCCTGAATTTGCTGCAACATATATAAAAAAACCTCCGTTTTGCAGCACTCTTTGGGACCACATGTAATTCACCTGGTGTTTTTTGTTTGTTTGATTTAATGTTAAAAGTGAAACTTTATTAATGAAATGTTGGGAGTTTTTGATAGCACCTGAAAATTTAAGAAAACTTGCCTCAA